CTGCCAATATTTGTCAACCAATTTTGTAATGCAATCAGTTTTTCAATTTTTACCTTATTTTTCGTATTTACCAATCGTTACTGTATGCTTTTTGAAACACGATCTGTTTGCAAGCGACGCTCTTCGATTTAATTATATTGATAAAATATTGTTTGCATTTACTATTAAATGAATACAACTTAATTTCCGCAACGACTGGTAAATTGAAAAACGACAACAAATTGAAAAGCCATTGCTGGACACAACAAAAGAAAAAAATGCATCAGAATAAAATAAAGAACATCTCCTGCTTTTTGGAATTACGTATGCAGTCCACCACTGTTCTCGTTGCTTCGTATATTGTATTTTGGGAGAACGTGATTGCCTTTGTCATGCATTAATTTGCATATTTACCTGCTGCAGATGACGGCAGTGCAGATTGTTTGACATCTACAATGTACGAGTATGTTGCACCGAGTCCGCATTCTTGACTTCTACTGACTGCTGCTCCTGAGATTGAAAAGCAGTTGAGGTGCTTTGAATGCAAATTGAATGGCTAGACAGTTGCCACTTGAGTTGACTCGGTTCACTTAAGAAGAAGGCCAACAAGCAAAGTTGTCAGAATGTATGAACACGTCGATTATTAAACGAGTGTTTGAATTGTTGCTTCTCCACTTGCTGATACGGACTAGCCGATAAATGTAATTGGCTTTTGTCTGTATTTGTATTAAATTATTGCTGTCCATTATATCTTAGCGTGGCCGGGCCACATTTGCTGATTAATACTAATTTGCTTAATTGTAATTGTAATGATAATAGTATTTGAATAAGGTTTTATATTCGTCTGCCTAAGGCACTTAATGTGCGCAAAGTAGATACTTACTGCCTGACGAAGCTGTTAGTATTCGGAATGCATGATGGTCATTTATCACCTGCTATGTGATGGCTGCAAGGAAGCAGTTCCGTGAAGATTTAAGAGAAATAATCACGGTTCGTCTGCACACACACATGATACCATTTTAAGACATTTAATATGTGCAAATCGCATGTTTTCCACATCAATAACGTTGTCAAACCTGAACCGATTTTCAAAGGCGTTGCTAAACATTTTTCTTTAAATTTGTACTGGTTTGATTAGATGTCGAATGGAAAGGTCTGTTTAACATAACCTAATAGACTAAAAACATACAGGTACTGAAGCAGAAGATATGTTAAATTCCGTGTAGGAGAGCCGCATTAATAATTGAGTCAAGTACTCCTTGGCCACGGTCTGGGCCGCATTGCACAAGGTTGCCTTACGGCAACTTGCTCGTTGTCTGCATCGCGAAATGTAGCGTGTTTGCATTACGTTCTTGTTAAAGCCAGCTTAAATTACCAATTGAGATGTATATGATGTTCTGTCAGCTTGCCGTATTTGTAGTTGTTGATGTTGTTTTTGGTTCTCTTCTCATTTGCACAGAAAGTGAGCTACAGCAGCAGGAAGCGAAAAGTAAGAGAATTGCGCGGTTCCAGCAGCTTAGTGTTGATTCCCAAGAAACTCAAACTATGCACAGCCGGCTGTAGTTACTATATACATATATTTACTGACACACAAGTATATATAAACACACACAAGCAACACAGAAATAACTGAGGACATCAAATGCCATTTTGCATGAGTAAGTTGAGCGAAATTAAAAACAGAAGAAGCGAATTGCACAAAACTCGCTTAAGAGCCGTGCGTAAAATAAAATGCTACGGCTACGTCCTGGCACAAGGATGAAGTCACAAGGGATATGAAACAGCATTGCGGCGCCAGTAGATTAAAGTGCAGCAAATTTAATTTAGCCACTTGTTTTTGCTATTACAGCAAACGCCATGAAACATGTTAAGCTGTGAATGCTTTAATATAAGTGTGGAGTTGGTATACGTGAACAAATTCCAAAAATTTAAATATTAAATTCATTGTATTATCTGAGCATAAATTTATGTGTGTTATACGAATTAAATATGCAGCCAATCTTTAGTATATACTTATAGTATATATTCAGTGGCTGCATATTTTATGGCATTTACATATTTTCTTCATGTGAAATTTGTAAGTGGCTTCAATTATACTATTACACACTCAACACATTCCGTTGTATTATGTACGCTCACAGCCAACAATTATGGCTTTCGTTTCATAGCTTGGTTTAACATTCGTTTGGCCATTTTCGCTCCATTGTGTTGGCACTCAGTTAGCCAGTTTGCCAGACTTTGCTGCTGGCCCAGCTCTCGGGCATTCGAAAAATGCATACTCACAGTTACATGCACACCCACCCACTCGGATGTGTTGTGTTGTGTTTTGCATGAAGGTTTTGTGGCCAAGAGGATATCCGCATGAAGTGTGCGTAACTGTTAGCTGTTGGTTGTATCTGTGTTTTGGCAGTTGGCCAGTTTTCTTTTTGGAACCCACTTTAAGGCAACTTATATTGCATTCTGGTGGGCGGCTTAAGGGATTTGTGCGTTACTTGCCAGCAGGAAAACCAAACAGGGGCTGACGTAAAATACGATATGGGAAATTTGATTAATTTGATGGAAATAGCATTTGATAAATTCGTGCTGGGAGGGAACTAATAAATTTAGCATTGTATTAGTGAATTTAGCTTGATTATGTACTGAACTGGGGATGGCCACTTAAAATAACAAGTAAAATATCAAAAGTCCTGTGGGACACTGTACTCATTGGTCACTCAGCATAAAGTCAAAAAGGTTGTCCCTGGACACACACACACACAATGTGATGCCCGTTTACATGTACGCCTCTTTGAGTTTGATCAAAGGCAGCAACAACATATTAATTCCATTATGGCCAAGACAATCTGGCTAAAAAGAAGGGCAAAAAGAAAAACGAACGAAGAACAGCAGCCTGTGCTCTGCTGCTGTGCAGAGGCTCGTCAACATTTTTCTAATGCGACACGCAGGCGGATTTGTCAACACACTGCGTATACGCAATATGTTTGTTTGTATATTCTTACTAGTCACTTTTTGCTTTGCTTTCGCATTGTATAAGTAGATGGACATGAACGAATTTGCTACTGATTACGCATCAACTGTCATGGGGTCCGACTCCGTCTGATACACACACTCACACACACAAACTTAACCAAAAAAAAAAAAGAAAAGAAGAAAATGCACAACTTCAGGCTACTTGCAATTCCGGTGGGACAATGCTTCTCAGGGGCAAATAAAATACAAACAATATGTTTGCCATTGTGTGGCAATATGTAGATAGTTTCCGATTACGTGACCACAAATAACAAAATCAGAACTGGCATTGAAGAGATGCATTTAAGATATAAATATAAGCATAGTTATACATCAGACACGAGACGAGTATTTGTTTTATGAAATGTATAAGCTGCTTTTACAAACGCATTGCTTTCAGTTTTGCCTATAATTAAATTGTTTTCATATCTGATTCAACATTATCCTGTTATGTTGAATGCATTTGTTATGCTTAGTTGAGTATGGCAGCAATAATAGTAAAATGTTGCGGCCTATAGCTTTGCCACATATGCATTGCAAAAACATTTATTTTCAATTGTTTGATTATTTAATGAGCCATTTTTCAGGGTATTCCATTACGCACACGCCACATGTCACTCAGTTGTACAAGTGCAATGCCTGTACAGAAAACGCTGAGCACAGCCAAATGACTTTTTAGACATCAAAAGTGGCTTTATGGGCGTAAAGCATGTTAAGGGGGCGTCACATTTTGTGCTTTATGTGTGCGCTCGTGTGCTGGTAATTTATCATGTCATCGTTTTGCTTCTGTTGATAAATGAAAAGTTCGAATTTGTACTGTATTTATTGTCCAGCTAACCTTGAACTTGAAATTTCCTCTTGAATTTATTGGCACAGAAGCTTTAAAATACCAAAGTAAAGCTTTGACTTGTCAGATAAGAAAACGCACAGTTTATTTAAATAGTGTATAAGAGTTATTCGTATTTCAAAAATTCTCGCGATGTCTTGATTGATGTGATACTTTCAGGGATAAATGCATAAAATGAATGGGTTGGATTAATTTGAGTTTCTTTGCGCAGTAACAATTCCCTCCTCAATTTATTCATATTTATCAATATGCTAATTCCATTATTTACTCTTTAACGGACAAAAAGGCGCCATCCCAAGCGAATGGAATAAATAATGTCCGACAACTATTGTTGGACAGCACAATAAAAATCATAATGCAAGAAATATCATAATAATAAATTTTCAAATCAAGCTGCCAAAGTGTAAATAATATGTATACACTCACACACACATACCTAAGCACATCACTTGGACAAGGACATATATACATATAAATATATATGAAAGGCTGTAAAATATTCATGCGCCTCAATAAACTGACAAGCTAAGAAAAGATGTCCACACCGAGAACCAAAACAGAAAAAAAGGAAAGGCAAATGAAAAAAAGCATTTGAAATAAAACGAGAAGGATAAGAAAAAAATAGCAGCACAAAAGAAAACTGCGCCAACGAACAGCGAATATGCATTAAAAGTATTGCAGATACGCGTCCAAGGGCACAGAAGATGGCTAAAACGAGCACCAGTTCCTGGGGAATGAAACTATTCAGCAATTATGGGCGCAGCGCAAATGCCATTTAAAGCATGAAATGGCATAAGATGGCATAAAATGGCAACCACAAGGCCCAAAGTGTCTTTAAGTGCCTTGACGGGATAAATAAATAAAATTGATTGGGCAAGTGCATGACTTTGGCAGGCTGGGGTCACTGGTGTTATCAACGACTCGTTATCATCTGGCAATTTCATTATTTTAATGCGTTAAATGAATTATCAGTTTGTCCAACGACTAGCCAAACACCCAACCAACACCCCGTAGCCCCCATCAAAATTAATGGGCGTGACGACAGACTGCCTGAAGTATTGATTGTCTGGCGAGTGTTTCTGACGGATACAAAAATGCTTAAGTAAAATTCAATGAATTCAAGTGATACTTTTGTTTATTTAACTCGGATGATTTATTTTTTTTGCATTATATTCTGCAATAAAACAAAATATTGCCCACTTGCTCGGATCATCTGCAAATGTGTTGTGTGAAATAATAATTCTTAAGCACATGTGTACATATTTCAAATGACAGCCACTCACCGACACCAGTGTGGGCAGCGACATTTTTGTGAACCAGGATACATCCAGACTAAAGCCAAGATTGGTGCGCATTATCATCATTTTGACCAGCCGTCGAAATTCGCGGCATTCCTCGTACCAAGCACACTCATAGAATGCCATTGGTATGCGCTCGCTCTGTGTTAAAACAAAATGAACAAAAGAGTTGACCAAGTATTATAAATAATAGCGAAAGATGCAAATAACGTACAGCAGTTGAAAAGCTTTGGCCATTATAACAATAGATGACGATTTGATAGCCGCCGGCTGCGAGATACAGAAACATGCGGAGCGCCGTCGTAAAACTTGTGGCCTGTGTTGAGATAAAACAAAAATAGACGCATTTAAAGGACATTGTTAAGGACACAAGTGGGAGATGATCCGTACAATACCAATGCTTATTTGAAATAAAACAAGACCCCAGCAAAAAAGGCTAAGCACAAATTGTACAATTATAATTTGCCTAAAGCTGCTGTTGAGCTCCATGGCATAGCTGTCATAGATAAGGAGAGAAAGATGGATAGTCAGAGAGAGAGAGTGAATGACAGACGTCTTATAGTCTATTGTTTATTAGACTTACGCTGCCACACGTTGATATTGATAGATGCAATTGCGTAGGTACTCAAGTCTACGCTCCTGCGGCACCAACGGTGAAGTGGAGCAGTCAATCATGTAGCTGAGTGTCTTCATAAGACCAATGCCATGCAGGCACAGCACACCGAATAATCCTTCGAAGGCAACTGCACCTGTGAATGCAAAATTCAGTAAGACAATACTTCAGTACACCAATCAATGCAATTTCACACACCCATGCCACAAACATACAGGTTGCAGGTCTCGAGAAACCATGGCAGATAATAGTAGGGATAGGTCATCCAGTTGGGATATAGAGAAGGCAGTGCTAAAATCGAAAACTTGCTATGTGTTTTTCAACTATTATATAATGATGGCTGACTCACGCAGCGTAACCTCAACGTTGTCGTCGGATTCGGATATGAAGCGATAGATAATTACAATCAGAGAGTTGAGAAAGTAGTTCAAACAAATGGCACTGCAACTGAACAGGAAGAACAGCACTTGGCGACGCGTGCTGATCCAGACCTTATTCATGATCTTATCTACATTCTGGCGCAGTTCCTTCGCAATTGGCAGATCTGTAAGGAAAAAATTAGCACTATATACAAATTTCAAATCCAGATCAGCACAGGCAGACCTGCGACAGCTTCGAATAGTTCGCAGCTCTGCAGGAGCTCATGACGACAGGCGCAACGTAGCATGATGTAGAATTTTCGCGGTGCCGTTAGAGTGTATAACATTTTCACAACGGACATAAACGATTGGAATATCGTACTAATGGACTGAAAAAATTAATCAATTTATATGTATGGATTAACATTGCAGACCGGACACTATGTGTAAGCAACCTCTGAAATGCGCGGTATGTCCTTGATGTAGGTTACAATCAGCTGCATGTGGCCGTAGTAAGATGCCAGAGTACTTCCTATAAGCACCAGGCACCACCTATCGAATTAAATAGAAAATCTTAAGATATAAAGAAAACAAAAGATTACGGATGGATTTTTAGTACACACAGCTTCAAAATAAAGTCGTAGCGCGTTGCTTTCTTTAGATTGTAGCCCATAATATAATTGACGTGTATCAACTCTTTGATCCGATGATAGTTGTGCTTCTCCAAAGCTATTGCCTCATTCGGTGAATACATGTTGACTAATCGACAGCTAACTGCTCAAATCAGCCATTTATAAAGTTATTAAAGGGGCGTGGCAATGAATCAGATTAATTATGTAACACTCAACACACCCGAAATAAGGACAGTGCCAGGGTTACGCCCCATTACGTGTGAAGCTGCACTTTAATTATTGAAAAGGTATTGAGTTGGTAATTGCTAATTAGTGCTCTTTATAAATTACCACATTAAAGGTTCTTGTAAAAGGTTGAAAGTCGGAATGTATTTTTGTGCTGAAGCCTGACGACCCTTAAAAGCTCAGTCTTACAAGCTGTATAGCTCAAATCTACTCAAACTTTGAAGAGCTTTAAGCTTTAATCCTGATAACTGCACCAGGAGCAGCTTTTTGTCAAGCAAAAAATCATTAAGCGCTTTGCATTAAAAAACGAATTCTCTTAATTTTGCTCAATGATTTATATATTTTCATGGTATTTCGCTCAATATAGTTTTTAATATGTTTTAATAAATTTGATTTTGCTTTTTGTTTTTTTTTTCAACGATTTTGCTTATGGTTTTTGTAGTGAATGTTATTCACTTTTGCTGATTTACAATCGCCGCTGGCAGGCTACATTAAAATGTACATATCGTTTAGTAAATAATTTTAATTTAATAATTAATATTACATAATAACATTTCGCGTTTGTTGTTGTTGTTCTTGTTGTTGTTGCAGTTCGGCTTATTCAATTTAATTTTAATGCATTTACAGCTGCAGCTCTTTAAAAATAATTTAGAAAAATAGTAACAATTTTAAACCGAAACGATTTTTGTATAAAAATTGCAGTGCCATTTGTTTTAACTTTTATTTGATTTTGTTTTGTTTTTATATATTTAATAAATAAAGACTATTATGATAAACGGCGCGATTTTGAATGTTGTCTGTGTGTGTGTGTGTGTGTGAAACAAATATTTACAAAAGTTATTTTCCTGCTTTATGGCTGTCAATTACAAATTAGATATACGCAATGTGGAATGTGGCCAGTGCTCACCACAATTGTGTAGAAGGTTCTAAACGAATTGCTAACAAAATGTGGTTGCATTAAGCATTTAATTATAATTCTTATGATTTTAATTACATATACATACTTTAAATTGCATTTTTGGCTTTAATTAATTTCGATTTTATTTAATTTATCCATTTCTCTTTGCGTCTTAAGTTGAAAAAGCGGACGTTGAGATTGCTGGCATCTCATAAAAAAACTTTTCCGTGAATTTACAGTGTATGTGTGTTGGTGCATGTGTCACAATGAATGCATGTGTGTGGGTGAATGAATTCGTATTCTTTTACTGATATGTTTCTAAGAGGCTAATTTGCATTTGATTTTTATATCCAATTGTCGCTTTCTATACACCTTCTAAATATTTGTGTTTTTAAATGTTGCTTCGAGAATTACATAGATTTGTTGTTAGGTTTACTGTTAGGACTCGTAAAGATATTTTACAACCGATAGAACCCAACAAAGATCATGTTGGATACATCGAGGCTTCAACTTGGTATTCAACTTATTCGTCTTCTTTCCAAATGATGATTAATTTTAATTAAATTTATTTAAGTTTATTCTTGAATTTAGACAATATCCTGTTTACTTTATGTTTATATCTGTAGGAATAATCTTTAATTATTTAATAAATGCTTGAATTTATTGGTTTAGCATTAAAAATCTGCTTGCATAAAAACTTTAGTTTTAATTTTCGATTGCTGGCCTTGCGATTAGCCTAGAATATTATCAAATGCGTATTTTAGATGCGAATTCAGTTAATTTACCAACGTTTTGAAGGATTTGCAGTTTTAATCAGACCAATCCCAACTATCGATTATCATTACCAATAATATCAATACACACAACATGGAATGTTTCGGGCACAACTTATAGAAGGGACTCACATGAAGACTCACACGAACTTTGGGTTTTTAAATAATTGACTAAAAATATGTTTTTTTTTCATTTTATTTTTTTATGGAAACTCAAGCAAACCAATAATCCACTAGTCTTCGGTGCTCAAATATGTTAAAATATATTGCTTACAGGTATGTGTGTAATTGTAATTGAAAAATAACAAAAACAACGCAGAAAATACCGTTTTGCTCATTTTAATTCTAAGTTCTAAGTAAATGGAACCAGGTGACACGCCTAAATACTTATATGATCTTACATTGAGTAATTTTGTAACTTTTGAAGTACTTGTTTAACTTTCAACTAACACACGGGACGCACACATATAAAAAGCTGAGACTAACGCATAAAATATCACTATGCAATTTCTCGATAAACAAACTAAATCAAATCTCATTCTCATTTAATGTTCAACGTTTACTACTACACCGAAACAAACTCATTAGTCAATTAATTACGTCTAATATGATAGTTACTATATACGGGGTTAAAGTCAAAAATAAAAGCCTCATACGAGTCTGATGTCGATTAGTTTCTAGTCGAATTCTTTTGAAGCTCTGTATTTTTTACAATCGGATTTGATTTGAATTCCTACTGAAGTGCAGCATAAATCGACTTTATACTTGGGGGCCGATACTCATATGAGGTTTCTTTCTGAGTTCCATAACTTACAATTCTGCAGCAGGATAGAGGGGGGAGGAGGTGGAACAAAGCACTAACAAGAAGCCTTTTACCCTTACACATACATATAAACGAACTTTTGCGTAACGATTTTAACTACTTTTGTTTTATGAATTCTCAAACTATTTTAACTGGCATGGTGTATATATAATGTATATGGATCTGTGGTAAATTTCCTATTATCATATAAGTATGTATATAATATATATATATATATATAAAACGGCATAATGTCTTTTGTTGCGAGCTTTCGAATAAAAAATATTACTATTACTCGTATTTAACGTTAAGATGTAAATATGCTGCGAATTGTAATTGCAATATGTGTGTATATATTATTGTATTTGTATTTGTATATTTATGTATGTGTGTATATATATGAATATTATGCTCTTTTGTTGTTGCTTTGGTTTATTTGCTATTTTACTCTACAGTTTAGGCTTTTGTGGTGATTTCGTTTATATGCTGTAAGCTGTAAATAAATGTTGCACTTTAGCACATTAGCTTAGGGTACTATTTACATGTTAAATGTATTCTCTTCTTTTGCTGAATATTTTTGTGTTTGCTGGTAAGGTTAAGTTACGGGATACTTTCACACACAATATGTCTATATTAATTTAATTTTGTACGGCATACGCGGCTTCGCAACAATTTGCATTGATTTGTGTTTTTTTGTTGGTTTTTTTTGTGCTTGGAGTTTTTTTTTGTATTTTTTTTTGGTTTCTAGTTCAAGTTTTCAGTTTCAGTTAGAGTTTTTGTAAAAATATTCAACTTCAACGCTCTTCATCTGCTTTTCAAATTAGACTAGGATACTGTTCATTGCTTTTATATAATTCACATTCCATTTTTGCTAATTTTGCTATCACTTTGAGTTTTTTGTTTGTATTTTGTGTTGGATTCTCCATAGGTTTAGGTTTTAGTGTTTCCTAGTTTTTTTTTCTTTTTTTTTATTTGGTTTATATATAATACAATAACTACTAAGCGCTTTTGGTGTGTTTTGTGGTGTTAACTAATTGCTACGTGGCCCCACCGCCGCCGCCAGCGCTCCCGCTGCCGCCGCCGCCCTCAGCCTTGCCTGACTCCTCAGCATTCTGCGGCTGCAGCAACGCTCTCTGCTCATCGTTGGCCTCGCTCTCGCCTTCAGCATCTGCCTCACCATCGCCATCGGCTTTGTCCTGTGTCTCCGACTGTGTCGCCTCCAACCCTTGAGTCTGTCGCGCTGGCGAGATGAATGTCGTCTCCGAATCTATTGTGTATTTTGGGGACAGAGAGATAACTATTAAAATCGATTTGGTGGATATATGTCAAACAAAGGTGCTACAAAATAATAATAATGCTTTACAGAAAGCTGCGTGTTTGTGTGTGGGAATGTGTGTGTGTGAGTTTGTGTTTTGTATTTAAAGGCCGACTGCTACAGCTTCACATAGATAACGATCAAATTACGACAACAATCGCGAGTGTTTGTGGTTTAAGTTGGTGCAGGACGACGGCTGGCAAAGCAACCAACTTTTTGTTAACTCTAGACTACGACTCGGGTGTACGAGGTGTACAGGAGTGCGGTACTTAGTGCTATATATATGTATATATCTATGTAGTATTCCACGATCCGTTTGCTGGTAGTACATCAAATGTGTGTGTGAATTGTAACTAGCAAATTTGCTCGCCTTGCCTGCATTTGTGAGTCCTTCAGTGTGTGGTACATACATATTATAGTATCTGTGTCTGTGGGTGGTGGGTTATTGTGCGGGCTATTCTGGCTAATCAGGTGTATTCAGAATGCAGCATCGAAGGCGGTAACTTGAGGAAGTTGAGTTGATCGGCGCGTTGATGATAGATATAGCGAGAGAGAATAGAACAGAATTGTTGTTGTTGTTGTTGTTTTGTATGGGTATTCACAGCCAAATGTCTGGATTACTCAGTGACGTACTCAATGAGAGATTTTGCCTTTATCAATTCAAATTACAAACTGAACCTACCCAGACTGCTGTCCCTCGTCTGACTGGCATCGTATCGTCCGTCCGTTGACGTCTGAGCCGCCACCAAGGTGCGCGCGAGGACGGGCTTAACCTGACGCAGTGCCTGCTCCTCGGGATAGCGGGGTGTTTGGAATTTGGTTGGCTTCGATTGCAATGTCGCTGGCCCGGAGCGCTGATGCAGTAAGGTACGATGCCTGAGGGGTGGTGGGGATATAGACTTAGCTAAAACTGAATGAGGTAATTTATTCGGTGAGTAATCGCTGCCAGATTCGCCCTGCAATGCAAAATATGTTAGCTAATAATAATTATCAGTGGATGGATAGATAGATATATATACCATGACGGTGCCATTATCAGACACGCCCGAGCCTGACATATTGTCCGCCAACAGACGCTCACTCTCCGGATCGGACAGCACGCGCGAGATATCAGACTTGTTTTTCAGTATCGACTTGGAGCGTCGGTGGTGCTCCAGATTCGGCGATGCATCAATCGAGTCTATCGATGAGGAATGCTTACTCTCAAATTTGGCTGCAAGATAAAAAGAAAATTGGATAATTGATTGGGTTTTTCTTTTTCATATTTGTATATCTCTTTTTGAATTTAAATTTGTTTAATTTTTTTTCCTCCGATTTTGAAATGGACCCTCTCCATCCCCTATGGATTATTCACCTTTGGCGCCTGCATTTTGTATGCCAAACAAACGCTGGTTAATCAGTTTGGTGGCAGTGGCTAAACTCTTGCCCGGCATAAAGGCCGAGCGCTTCTTTTTGCTGCCCGCGGCGGCAGCGCTGCTTGCACCTGCTCCTCCCGCCGAGCCAGCAGCACCATCTAGACGCACAATGTCTTCGCACAGCTTAGTGTCCTCGAAGCGGGCGCGGGGCTTGCTGGTGCTGCCGCTGCTCGTGCTGGGCCGGATGGCCGTGAAACTTTGCTGGAAACGCGTCTTGCGATGCTTTGGCACTGAGTTCTCGTTCAGGCTGACACGGCTGCCCCGCTCTTGCACATCGAAGTTCTGATAGACTTCATCCAGTGGACTGATGCCCCCGGCAGCCAGATTCCTTAGGGCCGTATCGCCCGAGGCGCTCTTCTTCACCTGAGCGCGCATTGAGAGACCAGAGGTGGAAATTGTGGGCGGGAGGCCCACTATAAAGCCCGTAGAGCTGCTGATGTTGGCGCCGCGGTGGCACGACTCCTTTTCCAACGGATTTATATACAGATTATCCATGTCAATGTCCAGGGCGCAGGCCTCGTCGTTGAAGTCCGCTGTGAGATCGCCCTGCGACAGAAACGGATGCGTCTGGCAACTGGCGTACGTATCCGAGCTGTCGACGCTGGCCAGATCCGCATTGTTGTTGTTGTTGTTGCTGTGGCTGGTGCTGATGCCGCCAGCAAAGTTGCCATTGCCAAACAGCAGCAGCCCATTGGCCACCCCACCAGCGCCCACAGTTGTCGTATTGAAGTTGTTGTTGAAATTGTGATTGAAATTGCTGGCAATGGGCTCCCCGTAACGCTGTGTGGCATCTAGCGGCAGTGCAATGGTCGTCGATGTGGTCGTCCCATACGACGAGGACGTCGACGAAGACTGTGAGATGATGGGCATAATGCTGGCGCTGGTGAAAACTGGCAACAGCACAACATCGCCCGGTGCCGTCAGTTGCAGTGGCTGTGAGGCCACGGCCGGCGATAGTAGACCGAACTGATTGGCCTGACGATTGGCGGCAGCCAAGCGCATCTCCAGACAGATGGGCTTGTGGAAGTCGGAAGTGGGCAGCGAGATGACGCCCTCCGCATCGGTGTACTCCTTGAAGTCCTGCAAGGCAGAGAGTGAGTCGAGGAATGATGAATGTGCTTTAACCAAGCCATAAGCCAGGCCCAGTACCTTAACAGTTTGTTTGTTATTGTTTGCCTTAGGTGCACTTGAAATTGCTGTAAATTTGTTGCTGTTTCTCAAGAGCATTCAACATGCAACTAAAATGCATCGAGTTAAAGTCAAACGTGCTAGATTTTTTAATACAATTTTAATTCGATTGAATTATCAAACACAAAACATTTTAAATACAAATTAATACAAAAAGTATCGAAAAGTTAATAAAATCAAAGAGATCTTTTTACTTACCCAGTTACGGCACATTGCCCGAGTGTTTAACGGTATTTCCAGATCTCAATATATTGAAATAAAATTATACGACTAATTGAAATAATAATTGTATTTTCAAAGTTTTCTTGGCGAGCAATACAAAAAAGAATCGGTAGATAAATAGATAAATAGTGCTAATAAAAAATTGTGCTTAATGTGGAAATCAATAATTGATTACTTTATTTATTGCAGTTTTGTTGTATTGTTTCCATAACATTGTTTCAATTAATTCATTTAAATATTTTTGGTTTGATATTTGTTTATATATTTTGCATTGCTGATAAGCGATTAATTTAAAACTAGTTTTATTAATTATGTGCTTAGTGTAAAAAGAATTGTTTGAAACTCATCTCAAGGCCTTAAGCTAAAACACTCGATAGATAATATATAATAATAGATAATAACACATGCTGCTTTGGTTTTTTTTTTCATATTGTGTGTGGAGTAGAAATAAATTAATTAAATTCTTAGAATTTTCTATGTCTTTCTTTAGCTTTTACGTCACGCACGAAGATAATAATAATAATAATAATAATAATAATAATAATAATTGATTTAATTAAATTTAAACTTTGTGTTTAGAATTAAAGCTAGTTAACGCGTTGGTTGTTGTGATTTCGATAGTAATTTAATTTGGTTTGTAAAGCACATTCAATGTGATTTGCATATCGTTCAGTTGATGTTTTAAATTAATCATTGTGTGTAGCGGGTGTGTGTGTGTGTGTTTGTTTTCTTAGTATTCGTCGTTATTGACCGATTGACAGCCATTGCCAATCAATTTGCCAAGCTCTAAAGAAATAGTTTCTAAACGCTATTCGCACGCAATGGAATACATTCGCCTTGACATCCTGGCAAACCCTTTAAGTAAAAGAAATTAAAAAGAAACAAAGTCAACATAAAATTGCCATATTTCTCTGCGGCATTTGCTCAGCTTTGCACACAAATGAAAACAAAATAGAAAGTATAACAATAATAACACAATACACTTGTTTACACAGTTTTGCACACAGGTCACAGGTGCAGTTTTGCTTTCTTTCTTTTTTTTTTTTACCATCACATTCTTAAAAGAGAATCACAGATAAAAGAGATCGACAGAGCCCTCCTCGATCATGCGCTTGAGTGCCAGGTAATTTTTGGGCGATGGCGGCGGTCGCGCCAACCTCTTCATGCTATACTCCCTGTCGTGAAAGACACAAATGCGATCCTGCAATATTTACGCAGTCCTCTTCAGTAAATGTAAATCGAATACCAAAGGGAGGTACTTGGGATCGGTATACTTGCGAGTACTGATTGGGAATGCAGCAGAGTACGGGGCCTATATTAAGCATGATCTAGCATTTAAATATGAGCTCCAATTGTTGTCCTAATGCTAACTGTTTCAGATTTCACTGTGAATGATTTTGCATTTACTTAGTTAGTTAAGTATTAAAAATCAAACAAAAACATAAACACGTAAAACTGGTGCAGGTGCAGTTAAAATACTCAGATACAGTAGGTGTCAGTATATTAAGAAAAAAGAGCATGCGGACTACACAGAAAGCAGAGATTTCAGAGATTTCAGAGATTCATAGTGACAAGTGTTAGAGGGATTTAAATCGATTGTCTTGGTTGTCGATTTTACCTTGGTTGTGCAGAAGCAGCATTCGAATTCCACTGGCACATCCTGTTCCAGATTGTCCATGCGCTGGTTTTGTAGGTTCTCGAGAGCCACCTGGCGGCGCAACTCGGCCACTTCCTATAAGTATGGTTTAGGGTTTTGGCAAAATGTAAATGCATAAATCGAAATACAACAAAAATACGAATATATGCAGAACATGCAGCATACACTTAAATGAAACTAATTATATAGTTACAAGTTATTTATAAATTAATTAAAATTGTTCATGCACATGCCCAAAAAAATTAAAAATTCCCCTAACAAACTTCAGGCCTAAAATGTGCGTTGCAAGGTGGAAAGCATTTGGTGGAGGCTTGTGAGGCAGTTAGATGATAGTTTAGTTGGTTGATGTTGTGTCCAGGCAACTGTTCGGTCGGGGGAGTCAAAAACTAAGTAAGTTTGAATTGTTTATCAGAGCATATAATCAAGACTTTTCTATTAGCAAGCTAAATAATCTACGCTAAATGTGCTCTCAATGCGCCTAAGCATTCTGCTTTGTACTGGTATGTATTATGTGGCAAGAATTCTTATTTGGAAATACTAAATAATGTTTAAACACTATCCCAGTCGCACTGATTCTCGCCTTACAGGCAGAACTCACTCAACAGCTGTCCATTATGTTGGGCAAACTCACCCACGACAACCAGGATGTGGACGACAATATTGATGATTATTCGAAGCGTCAAGGCCAGTACGACATGAAGAGCTGGGATGAAGCGGGGGACGAGGGTGAGTTGTCCTTGAACAATTGAGTTGCTGTTTATTTCTCAGTTGCAATACTCTACAGCGTTTCAAGGCAGCAGCCCATGCGACTCAGTGCCACAACCCATGTGCAGCAGCACCACCTGTATGCCGCCATATCCCACCACTGCTAGTTGCAATCCGTTGGAGCCAGCAAATCAGAATGTAGGCATGCAGCAGCCACAGCAGCAGCAGCAGCAGCAGCAGCAACAACAACAGCAACAATATCAACAGCAGCAACAGCAATATCCTCAGCAGCAACAATATCCTTCTGGGGCCGATGACTCTGAGACACGGGGCAAGGAGCTGCGCACATTGGTGCAACATTTGTATGTGGCACAGGCACGGGTTCAGCTCGAGGCCACGGAAATACACAAAGCGCAGGCAGTGGCCACATCAGCACAGTCACTGCTCGAGGATTCGGCGAATCATGTGCGCATCATTACCGCCACTCTGCACAATGCACAGCAGGAAGTCGCTGCTGCTGCTATACGGGCACAAATAGCTCAACTGCAGCTGGCGGCGCATGATCAGCTGTTGTTTGCTGCTCGGCAGGATGTGGACGCACTGTCCTCCCAGGTGGTTGGGTTGCAGGCAGCAGAGGGCATTGTGCAGCCCAAATTGACGGTGGATCTGCATGCCCTGCTAGAGAAGCTGCGACAGCCGCTTCAACACTTTGACCGACCCACGCCGGTGCCGATGATTATCACCTTGCCGCCGGGGCCGGCTGGATTAGACGATGTGACTGAGGGTAGTAACAATAAGGGCCTCTTCAAAGAGGAGCAACATGAGCCTGCCACACTCCATATGGACTACACTTAATACTCACTTCTGAATTGTGCGCTACATATATTTTTTATGATTCTATCCGTTCTATATTCTAAATAATTAAAAGCTATACTTGCTTATATGTGTGTATGTATGTAGTTTCACTTGTTTGTGTGTCTTTTCTGTTTGTGGGTTGATGTTGGGTTCATTGTGGATTGTTGATGAACAGAATGCATATATTCTAGGTAGATGCTGCAGTTATTATTTATAAGAAGCAAAATATAAGACGTTAAGAGGAATCAACAGAAAGATACATCTGCACAAACCTAATTAAGCTTTGAGCTCATAGAAAAAATCCATAATGAAGACTTTCAAGTACTTGTTTTACTACTATCCCTCACTTGCTTGCTCAGCTCATGAAGTAAAGGAATTTATTCATTGCACGAATTGCAATTTCCTTTTTAATCATGACTAATCATGCACTTAAGTTTTGAAATACTGAGTCAAATATATATTCTATCCAAGTAAAGAATACATTCCTTGCAAAGCTACGATTTTGGCTAATTTTTTATAAGTTGTAATCTTGGTTCGTTTATACATATTTACATGTGTATATTTATTGAAAGCTTATTATCAATAAATGTAGTTAAATAATTTAATTTAAATTTATTTTAAATTTAAATATATTTAAAATAAAACTTTCTACTATTTAAATTTAATATATTTTTAAGCAATTTTTGATTCGTTACAAAAATAAAGATATTGGCTAAATTTATTTACAATACATGTTTATTTACACTTCAATCAATTGTAAAGTACAAATCTTTATTAACGTTGAATGGCTCGAAGGGTCTAGCTTGTAAGAGCCCACTGCAGCTAACTATCTATGTGAATATGAATAGAGTATAAGGCAAAAGGTAAACAAGACAGAATCAAGAACTGATAAGGAAAACGTATAAAATAAAAATACGAGCACTTATGCAAAATCTCTTAAGCATTCTAGCAGCTGAAATGCACTCATATGGAGAACTTGGAGACATTCTTAAAATGCAAATATAATAGCTCGAATTTCGATCATTTTTTTATTTTTTTGATGTCCAAAGAAAGAGGAAAAAATAAAGTTTAGCAATATATTCAGCCTCTGAAAATCGATCCAGGGAAAATAATTAAATTCGTTTCCATTTTGCATTATACATTAAAGTCGAATTGGATATTTGATAGATAGATTAAAGAGTAGCAGTGGCAAGTAGTATGCATTAGAGTAGAGTAGTTTGAGTTCTTTGTGTATACTTTGAATGTACCTCCTTACTGCGTCCCCGTAAAATCTAAAAGTTGAAATGTGTTGTTGTTATCGAACTTGACAATAGCTAGCTCTTGCATGTAGTATGGTAAGTAAGTAGTTAAGTTTTTAGTTTGCTTTTAGTTTTTTTTTTTCGTTTTTTTTTGCGATTGAGTAATTACATAAAATCAAAAATATGAGTCATGAAGTAAGAAATAACGAGGCCACAAAACTACCAAAATTTTTAACCGATTTGAGACAACTAAAAATCAATTTGAACCTAATTTCACCAGTCCTGGCTTGAAAACAGCTTTTTGCTTTATTAAAGAGTTTTAGAACTAAACGTGTGATGGACAATAATTATATGGCAAGTGTATCGTTTACAATAGTTGAAATATTTAGATCCAGTTAACGGCTTCACATTTACTAATACATAGTTACGATTTAAGAACTTTGAAAACATTAAGATATTCAAGATATACGAGTACTTGGCTTTGGACTACACACTTAGTCGGTACTCCCGCAGTACCAGCCCCAGTTTACCCCAACTTACCCCAGGCGTTATCATCATCTGTATGGGCAATCCCTTCTGATTTGATGCTATGGTCATCGCATCATCCGCTTGCGACGCGGAGGCCGCTCCTCCTGTGTCCTGCCCAGCACTACTGGAGGTTGCCACAGCTGTTGCTGCACTGGATGCTGCCACCATCGCTAGGTTGTTGGCCACTCCTACAGCAGGCAACTGAACAGTTTGTTGAGGCTTCTGTTGCTGCTGTTGTGGCTGCTGTTGCAGTTGCTGTGGCTGCTGTGGCAGCTGCTGCTGCTTTTGGAGCTGCTGCTGCTGAGCCAGGAGCAGCGCCTGCTGCTCGCGCCTGTAGCTCTCCATGGCCATCATTGAGGTCTGCCTGGCATTCGGATTATCGAAGCTATAAGGCGGCACTGCATCCTGCTCAGAGCTGGAGCCTCGACGCTGCATGGAATTGGCAAAAATGTCAGTAAATCTCAGTCAAATTGGGATGTGTTTCTTTTTTTCAAATTTGCAATCAGGATTTTTATGGTTTTTCCAACAGCTGCCAAAAGACAAAACTAAACCCATCGAAATAGGGTTCGACTCAAGGTTTGTGCATTAAATTGGCTGTGCGGCTATAACTACTAGTTTTCTTCAAAATACATATATATTTTCAAAAATATGTCTAACATAATACTTTTCTGTACAAAAATTAGTCGAAGACAACGTTGTAAAATCGATTTTGCCGTCTTTCTCAATAATTAGTAAAATTAATATAAAAAGGTTCATTTGCCATTTAAGTAAAATGCATTTGTGAAGATTTTTACCTTTTATCGATAATGCATTAAAATTGATTAATGGGGTAAATTGAGGATATTTGTTGGTTGATGCTTTATAAATTTTGTGAATGTTGATTTGTAATAATCACTTACGTGCTGCATGTTCGAGTTGCGCAGATTGGCAACGTGCTCATAGTTCTTGTAGCAGCCAGGGCCAGTGGTTGCCGGATTGCGACCGCTGGTGGATTCACCTTCGGTGCTAATGCCATCACCATCAACATCCCCATCCGTTTGGGAGAGATTGTGTCCTGTGGGCGATCCGCGAAGCGCGTGGGTTAAACGGTGCCAATTTTTTAGTGATCGTGTGTGACTTTCGCGCTTTTCTGCATTGCGTGTTTTGTATGTGTGGTGTGTATGTGTGTGTGTGTGTGTGTGTTCGTGGGTGTGCGTATGTGTGAGAGTTGTTTAGTGTGTGTGTGTTGGGAGTGTTTCAGTTTAGGTGGGTTGTTTCATATGTGCATTTATTAGTGTGGATTCATCGCGACACATTTGTGTTGTTTGAAATATGTTGTTGTGATAGTTGTTGTTGTTGTCGTTGGTAGTACGCGCAAAAAGCCATGAATGCATTTTGTCGCCATTTTCAAAAAAAGGGGTTTTCGTTTTTTTTGTTTTTTTTTTTTTAATTATATTGGATGTTTGCATTTGTTTAGCCGTTTTGCAATTGTTTTGTTTTCGCCATGTTTAGAATTTTTTGTTTTATTTATGATTTAGGTTGAGCATTTTCAGATATTCGTTTGTTTTGTTGTTGAGAGCGTAAATGAGACGAAATTCAAATTAAAAGGAATAAAAGAAAGAGATATGCATTTTATGAATGTCGTTATACGATTATGTTAGTATGTTATGGGGTTATGCTATTATTGCTGTTGTTATTGTTGTTAAAACTATTAGTTTTAATGACGACGACAAATAACAACGACGACGACGAAGACGACGACGACGATGATGGTTTAAATGATGACGACCAAAAAACTTTCACTTTAATTAGTATTTTAGTAGTTAGTTACAGTAAAACAACATTGAACGGTCAACAACTGGGAGAGTACAGTACGACGATAATATGTATATATTTATAGATATAGATATGTTTAGAGTGAACTATATGGCTATTTACTGCATGTTTGAAGTTTAAATAATTTGTATATAGATACAATTTAGTAAGCTATTAGTTAGTAGTACTTTATGTGTATGTGTCTGCGGGTGAGTGTCTGTATGAATGTGTGTATATATTTATTGTATTTAAGAACAACATTTAGTTTGATAGTGAGACTAGTAGTAACAAGTAACTGTGGGCTATTTTGAGTAGCTAATTAAATATATTTATGTTAGTTGGCACAACGAAAAACTGCTATGGGAATAAACAGAGATAGCGCCTATCTGCTCAAGATTAACATGGGATAGAGCATAGCAGATAAGCAACAATCAACGAAATACCCAATTAAGTAGTGCTTTATTTGAATAGCAACTGTACTTGTTTTTATTATGTATTGCTAATTGAAAGTAATTTATATACTTCTGCTGTTTGTCTCTCTAACAAATGTGTATTTCTTTCTGGGACCTCAAGTGTTTGATCATATGATAAAAATGAGTGAATGTTAAAATTATAATAATATGTACGATTTTTGATCACTCTCTTTTTTCTTTTCGGGTGAATTGCTCTAACAAAGTCAGTAAAACAAATGTTCGAGACATGACAGGCTCTCATTGCTTAGAAATGTATGTAAGTGCATGTTTATGGTAATTAGTTATTGTAGTATTATAGTTTTGGACAAAATACTGCTGAACAAAATCACATTTCATGGTCATTTACGCAATCTCATGTTTCTGCTATAATGGCAAAAAATGCTTAACGGAAAACAACACAAAAACATGATCAGCAATAATACTCTCACCAAATAAATGTATGGTAAATGAGTAAGCAGATAAGAATTTATCTTGGTGTCCTCTGTTTTTTTTTTTTTTCGTATTTGAAAAATAAAATTATGTATTGAAAATGCTTCAATTGGTTTGGGTTTTGGGAAGCAGTTAAAACTTTTTCCTTGTCATTTCAGGTAAATGAGAAGCTTAAGTTAATTGAGTAACAATTAAATTGTTTACCTTTTCATTGGCTTTATATAGAATAATGATTATTAAGTTTATATTTAAGTTTAAGGCTTGACAAAGGAGCTCTCTTAAAGCAAATCTAAATATATAGATATTGATCAAATATGTATAATTTAAGGCTTCTTGTCAAGCTTTAAACATGTTCGATACAAAAGGGTTTTATAAAATGAAATACAGCGCATTAGGTTTTGGTTTTATTGCTAATTCACATACACACAGAGTTGACGTTTTACAGTAGTTCAGATACAAGATACGAGTACACAGAATGTATGAGTACAGACACAAGTATTTGGGATAAGTACGTGTAATAATAATAATAATAATAATAATAGGTATGTTGTAGTTGTTGTTTTAGTTATTGTTCATACACATGGCTTGAGCATAAGGAGCGTAGAGTTTCTATACGAGTATAGAGTATGTATGTAGATAATAGTTTGATAGATATTTGAGATTAGATGCATGCAGCGTTTTTGCGAGCAGATACAGTTATAGTAAAACTTCACTCTCTGACACTTTGAGTTTGAGTACGAGTATTAACAAAATAAGGAAATGAAAGAGATAGAGAGAGATAGAGACACACACACGGAACGAAAGGTGTTGGGGGGACAAAAGTATAAAAGAGTCTGGAAGTAAAAGGCACGTAAAAGGCTTTCTATGCGCTTGAAGCGCTATGTTATAGATTTATAATCCGATCCGATTACTAAGTAGTAACTGTTAATATGCAATTTCGAACTGTGCACTATGATAGAAATATTTGAACAATATATCAATGCAAATCAAGAGAAATTTAAACTTTTACTTTTACTGAAATCAAAGATAAATGGGGAACAATGTTTTACGGTTAAATTATTAAGTCACTTATTTAGTTTTTCATATATGGGCATTATATATTTGTGTATAACTTCATTGAACTGCTCAGCGCGTTTTTTCTTAGCTTAGATCTACAATTGTTGAACACTTAACAAAATTAAATTTCTGCTCGTGCTTACATGCTCTGCAACTGCTATGGCTAAATAGCCTTACGAGTACACATCGATTTTATAGTTCCATTTTTGGAAAAAAAAACATTAAAACATTTTGTTGCTGCAAACTAAGCGCGTTATGCATTAAATAAGGCAATTTATTTCATTTATTTTCTTAGCTTGTTAGTATTTTCTGTTTTATTTGATTTCTTTTTTTTTTTTTGCTTTTTGTTTGGGCTTTTTGTTCTGACTTTGAATTATGCATTTCTAGGAACATTGCGCCATCATTTGCTAAGTAATAATCTATAAATATATATGTATGTGTATATATGTTTACCTACATACAATTTTGATGTCCACGTTGTGCGTGGAGCACGCTCTCTAAATTATAAACTAAGCTTAGTCTCTTTCAGCTACAACAACTAATTTCATAAATAAGGCTGGTATTTTTTTGCATAAATGTGGCCGGATCATTGAGCACACCTTTATTTTTTGCTGGCCCAGGATCAGTACTACAGCAAGTATATTTATCTGCAATCAATTTTGGAGGGAATCTCATTGTATGCCCTTGTAGGTCTGTCTATGTATTTTGGTTTCTCTTGTCGAATTCATCTATTTGTCTGGCTCGCATTTCTCTTCATAGCTGCAAAATGTTGCCTGCAAGGGAATATAAGCTTCGATGCGCCGAAGATTGCTTTCCATTTTTGACTATTGTGCTCAACAGATGCTTGGGAAGTTTTATATAAGCCTAGTTAATAGCTAAGTATATACTAAATTAAAATTGTGCTTACGCGGATTGTTTTCAACGTTTGGTTTCTCGACGTGTTTTTTTTTTTCTTTGTTGGCGTGCTGTTAGCATTTTTGGAATGGGAACTGTGCATTGGTCCCACACTCCATTCGAGTTTGAGTTCGCCACATACACACAGACGCACGACACCAGCTCACGTTTCCACCACCGGATGCAACCACAGAGGAAACGTCGTAAATTAACATTTATACACACGCAGCGGTGCTTTTCAGGGGCTCTTGAAAGTTTTGCTTACTTTGCAAAGTGTGTAGCAGAAGGAAAATAGTTTGCGATAAAATAAATGTATAAGCTAGCAGCAAAATAAGTTAAGTGGAATCATCAGCAAATTTGAGCAGTTGCGAAACCGAATGATCAGTGTTATCGATATACATACATATTTGAATATCGATACAGCATTTTTTTCTTTCCTTTCTTTTGTTTTTTTTTAACATTCTTTTCTTAGACATTTCAATAATATTTTCAAGTGCTGATGGCATTTATGTAAAGAAAATGCAAATACGACAATTAGCAAAACTTTCAATACAGCGTACAGCATAAAGTCAAGAGCAAAGGAAAACTTCACACGAGCTGCGCACGCGCATAGCTGGCTACAAAACTGTTGGGGCCAACGTTGCGTATGCGCAATGCGAATACTGCTTGGTGTTTAAAAGCAGAGCGGCATATGTGTGTCTATGAGCGTGTTGTGTGTGTACATAAGTGTATGTGGCAGAGTGTTATGATAGGGTGTATCACTGTGTGTGCGTGTTTGTGTGTTTATGGCGCCTAGAAGCAGTTACATATAATCACAACATTTAATTTCGATAGCCTCGCCTAATTCATTTTGATTGGGATTTCTTTTTTCTTTTGTTACTTGCTTATAAATAGCAAGAGGCAAATTGGAAGCCGATGTCTAAAAACTAGCACTAACTATGAACAGTGAACTGGAGGATTACTGGATTACTGGAGTATCTTTGTAGGAAGTACTTGGTTGCTCTCTCTCTCATACACATTTACAATAACAATTCGTTTACAGTTTTTGCATTTTCACATTGCCTATAACTAAGTTGTGTGTATGTTTGTGTGTGTGTGTGTGTGTGTGTGTTTGTGTGTATGTGGCATGTAAGTATGTGGTATGTGTTTTATTTGGTAGATAACAAGTTGCATTGCCTAATTTACATATACAATAACAGTTTTAGCTTTAAGGATACTTTTCGACTAGTAATTATTTTTTAGGCTTAGTGTTACGGGCTCTGCTCTGCATTTGTGGTCTGTTGGTTGGGTATCGGTTGTTGTTGCTGTGGTTGCACGCTCGGCTACCTGCCGCCACCTTTTTGTCGCTCTCTGCTCTGTGCTCGGCTAACGACTGTCCTCGTTGTCGCTGGAGCTGTTCTGCTGCTGGGCGTCGCGCTCCTCTAACAGGCTGCGATTCAGCTCCTGTATGCGAGCGGATAACGCCCGTCGACGGGGCGTGCCGAACGAGGGCAACGGCGGCGGCTCAATCAGTGTATTTTTCTCGCCTGGTTCGATTTTCCGGAATATTTTTGTTATTTTTTTTTTGTTTTGGTTAGAAAGTTGTTTTTGTGATTAGCAACGATAATCAAATTGCAACCAAAGTGCGTCGGTGTGTGTAAGTGTGGTGTGTGTGTTTTGTGAGGGTGTGGCAAGATATTGAGATTTTTGTGATATTGATCGCGTCGAAGTTTTTTTTTTTCATTTTTTTTTTTTGGGTAAATTGGTTCAAGTTAACATTGTGTGTAAAAGTAGAAAAAGAAGAGCAGAGAAAAGAACAAGTTGTAGGTATAAATTGGAGCTTGGTTGGTTCTTCAATTCAGCTCTAAGGATAGACTTATTTTTGGAGTGTTGAGCGTGTTTGTTATTTATGTTTATTTATTTTTTATTTTTTGTTTTTTTTTTTTTGGATTTGGTACACAAATTGATTGGTTTGTTGTTCGTATGCATAAATAACTCTATCCAACAAGGCTTTTTTGGTTCGCTTTTGCTAGTTCATTTGCTAAATTATAAACTACAATTGTCTAATAGGATGATTATAATATATGCATGTATATATATGGTTTATGTAATCAGCACTTGAAAATTCACTAAAATGTACTCAAAAATTGTTTAAAACTTTTTGGTTTTGTTTTTAATATATATTTTTTAATTTTGTTTTTTTTTTTTTTTGTTTTTAATACTGTAGTATAATTCGAAATGGCAACTCTATATTGAACATTCAAATTTGCTATGTATAGTTGTGATATAATAATAGTTTATAAATATGAAAATAAAGCTCAGCATTTAATTTCAATCTTTCAGTCGTACAACAGAACAATTTATGAACAAATTTGTCTCGGCGAAAATGTGAAATAAATTTCCAACTAATTTATGAAGGAAGCAAATTTACGATTAATGCAAACTTAAATTAATAATGCAACCAATTTTAGAGCATGTTCTATATTTTTTGAGTAAGGAATAAAACTAAGACTTATGTCTCATAATATTGGTATCGTTGGCAAATATACAGACTCCTATAACTACGGGGGTTCTTATAAACATATATAAATTTGTTGTCCAATATAAATGTGGGATTGGAAAGCCCAAATATTACAATTTAATCGAGCTACAAGCTACTAAGTATCTGAAAGTCGTTATAATCAAATGACCTAACCTGTGCATTTCGGTTATATTTACAAGAGTGGATTGTAGGAGATGTGAGACTTTAAGAGAAGATAAAAAATATTTAAGTTTGTTGTATAATTATTGTTTAAGCTTGTGTGTTATCTAAATCGGCGGGTATTGCCAAATCTTACGTAAGCGCTAGGCAGGTATCAAAGACTACAACTTGTAAATAGTTGAGTTTGAGCTAAGTTTGAGTTGAGTGATTTATTACTGGATTGATTGCTTGATATACGCAACGTATACGCAATGTTAGTCACCTGGAGCGCTTTGCACATCAAGGGTTTGCCTGCCTATATTGGGGGTGCTTTGTCTTTTACCTTTCGGATGCACAACATTTGTTTGCTTGCCTAAAATTAGATACGAGGGGGAAGTTTACGTAAATGTTTGGCGTTACAAAAATAGCTTGCCTACTTGCAGGCGTGTTTCATTGTATAAATATTTGTCTGTGTGGCGCTGTGTGTCGCTGTGTATCTGTGTATCTGTGGCTGTGTGTGAGTATAGTGTGCTTCTGAGCTTTGTACAAGTGAAATCCCCACTAATTTCTTGTTTAAACGCGATAAGTACAAAAGCATTTCTCTAATTGACCTTTGTGGGAATATGAGAATGTGTATCAAGTGTGTTTAGTGTGTTGGGGGCTTAGTGTTGGCTTTGTAACCGGCGGTGTTTAGTGTCCGTTTTGGGCTTAAGGCGGCTGCTAAATTGAGCAGGTGCCAATTAATGGTAAGGCCTAGAGAGGCTACAGAAACTTAAAAGTAATTCAATTTGCTTAACTATGTTTACAATTGATCGAATTCCATATGTTTACTTAGTATTAACAATAAATTAATTGATTTGCCCGAAAATTTCTATCATTTTACGGCAGTCTATTAAGAGAATTTTATTGAATCGGCTATTTAATACTATTTACACGCCTTCTTTTTTGAAAGTTGAAATAAATGAATTGAATAAAATGGAAAATAAAATGAGAAGCCAACGACATGCAGCATATGAGAAATATATAAGGAATCCAGAAGCGACGTAAAGTTTGTAACAATCAAGCAAACAAAGACATAAATTTGAGATAGATAGTAAGGAAGCATGTACAGCGAGTGGGGAAAAACTAAAGATTGAACGTAACAATAGCATTGCGGGGCAAACAACTACATTCATTACAATGTTAACAACAGTAGTACATATATATATATGTACACTATATAGCATGTTTAGTTCAGGCATATAGAGAGATTGATATATATATATATAGAGAGAGAGAGAGAGTGAGTGAGCTTTGTTGCAACATTCGCACTTACCTGTGTCGACAATCACATCGATGAGATCCATTGATTTGGCGAAGGCATCTTTAAGATTGATATGATGGAAGGAGACAATGCTACCCTCGCGTTTGGCACGATCGAGCGCCTCGCGTCGCTTGAGGGCCTTCTCGCGTCGCATCTGATTCTTATAAAATTCAGCAAAATTGTTAACGATGATGGGAATAGGCAAAGCGATTACCAGAACACCGCATATGCAACACACAGTACCAATAACCTTTCCCAGTGCAGTAGTGGGATAGATGTCCCCGTAGCCAACAGTTGTCATTGTAATACCCGCCCACCAAAATGTTTCCGGTATTGAAACGAATTTTGTATCCTTTTCATCCTTTTCGGCAAAATATGCCAGCGAAGAAAATATGAGAACGCCCATGGCCAGGAACAGCATTAGTAGACCGAGTTCCTTATATGAGTTACGCAGCGTAAAGCCTAACGACTGCAGGCCCGTTGAGTGACGGGCCAGCTTAAGGATTCGCAGGATGCGCATGATGCGGAATACTTGCACCACCCGGCGCACATCCTGGAACTGGTCCGTTGCATTCTTATTCGTTTCCAATAAAAATAACGAAACAAAGTATGGGAGTATTGCCAATAGATCGATTATGTTAAGGCCGCCCTTAAAGAACTTCCACTTGTCCGGTGAGGCGCTAAACCTAAGTATGTACTCTAGGGTAAACCACGTGATACACACGGCCTCAACCATTGCCAATTGCGGATTATCCTGTGGTGTACCATTGTCAATGTGTTGTAGTTGTGGTAGGGTGTTCAACGTCAGGGCTATGGTAGACAGGACTATGAATAGTATGGATATCACTGCGATAACCTGTGAACGGTAAAGAACAATCGAAACTTTGTCGAGACCATCATCAACAACAACATCACAACGATTACATCTATTTAATTAATCAAACATACAAAGTTACAACAATCAGCGCTTGCTTCGCCTTTTCATTATCATTTTGGGTTTTCGTTTCGTTTCGTTACGTTCCGTTTCATTTCATTTCATTTCATATCGTTTCGTTTCATGTTTCACTTGTTGCATTATTCCATTTGTTAATTTCGTGAGGGAATTTGAATCGTTTGATTCAACGTTGTTATATTGATTGAAGCAAACATTTAGTTAGCTGAGAGCAAAACGTTTAGTTTTCTGGGAGAACTTTAAGAACTGGGTCTCTAAAACCGTTTGTAGAGATGTTGTTGATCGTTGGATAACTGGTACTGAATACTTATAAGATGGGTACACTCGTTAATTGGGGTTTCCTGCTGGGTATTAGATGGGTATTTATTATATTTCTCTTTTTGGTGGTACTACTTATTCAAAGGCTGCTGTACTATATGTGAAGTATATCATTTGTAATCCTTCTTTATTCTTATTAAAAACAAAACTAAACAATCAACACAAACATTTAAATAAAGTCAAATTAGGCGTAAATAAAAATAAAATCTCAGGTTTTTGTCATCATAAATCAATCGAATTCTAGAATTCTTTGGAGTTAGTAAGTTGAGCAGTTGTTGAAAGGATAGTTTGAATACATCGAGAGACTAGGAAGTTGAGTAAATGTATTCGAAACATGTCTCGCATTTAAGTGTGGGCGTGTTTCCTTGTCGGCATTGTGTGGTTGAGTGGCTGTGATTTTTGTGGATGTGGTTGTGGTTGGTGGGTGGATTGTTGTTTGTGCGTGTATCGTATGATTGGATAGTGTATCGGGTATTCGGGTGTATTAGCAGTTAGCGCTGTTAGACAGATGCGCTTGTAAGTGGGCTGAGCTAGTTTCCGTGTGTGTGTGTGTGTGACTTTAGTAGTATCATTGTGTGTGTATTGGACGTAAGACATGACGTAACACAAAGTGTAAGACATTTACGCAATTACTAGCTACGCATATATGTAGAGAGAGAAACGAGAAGTAGGCTTTGGCTTCTTGATTGGATCGTTGGCTGGATATACTACAACTTATATGTATGTATAAGTGTTTAAGGGGCAAAGAGGTGGTCTATGTTAAATAAGAGACGCTACCATCGGGTCTGCAGTCGACATTTGTGTAATCAATTTTTCATTTTCATAATCATGAATGGACAAAACGCTTTGTTCTACATCGTATTGTTGTTCGTTTCGCTGTCTGTGTTTTGATTGTTTTCATTTTTGTTTTCTTTTGTTGGAATCGGAGTTTGTATATTAAACGATGAGTATAAACTTAAAATGCCTTTGAGTTAATTGGAAAAGTACACATAGTAAGTATGTTGTATGGCGCTGTGGTAGGTCAAAATGAAATTACGTACTAGCATATTACAAAGAAATTCAATGCATAATAACTTTCGATTCAAACGGGCTAGAAATTACAAGTACTTACACTAATGGGAACCAAATCAATTCAAATCAAAACAAATCAAGATATATTATGTAGAACCATCAAATAATTGCAGTTCATTAAACTAGACAATTAGATTGAGTAAATGCATAAATTATGTACTCGTAATTTTTAGAAATTGTGTGCAATTATTTTGAGGTCATATATAAATGAATGCATTCGAATAGAAACATATAAACAATTTCAAAACTATAGAATTTGTTGTCTTTTTATTATTTAGTTGGTTTTGTAAATATTTCATGTAATTTGCTGAGAACTGCAAATTGCATTTTGTCTAAGTTTAGGGGCGTGGCAGGGGTCTTATCTATTTTGCATTTTGAAGTGGCTAAATGACAAAATGTTTTGGCAGCAATACAATTGCAATTGCAAATTCAATGCCAGAAACAGCCAGTCAAAAAAAGAGAGAGATGGAGACAGAGATAGAGACAGAGAGAGAGAGAGAGAGAGATGGAAGGGGAAGTCTGATTGCCACATTAGGTCACAATTCCATATATTGTATTTGGGTAATGTAAATGTGCGTGTTTGTGTGTGAAACTGACATTTGATTTGGCAGTACAATTTTGGTAGGTGGAAGAAGAGGGGAATTGCGGCTGACACAATATTAAACATGAGGAAACCTTTTAAACAATTGACTAAATTGCTTTTGCTGATTTATTTAAAATGTGTGCAACACAACGCCCGACTACACACACACACACACACACACACAAATGCACAGCTTGATAAACTGCTTGTGTGTGTCTGCGTGTGTGTATGAATGCGCCCATGTATATGTGAATGTGTGTTATGTATGTGTATGTGGTATGTGGTATGTGTGTGGCACAAATTAGCTGTGTCCAGATCTACCATAGTAGGCCACTGTACGCAACCACGCATTTCTCTTTACTTTACTTTCGCCTCAATACGAGCACTATTGCAAGTAAATGAAAATAATTTTGCATGGTACATGGTACGAGAGGGGGAGAAGAGAGAGTAATATATAGATAGAGAGAGAGAGAGAGAGAGAGAAAGGGTCTTCACTTTTTGTTGGCAGGGAACAATGCTAGATTATTATTGAATTTTGGTATATGTAAATGATACAATGCTACAATAAATAGATAGATACAGATAAGTATAATAAGATTGTAGGAAACATACTTAGTTACGCGTTACGCGTTACGAGGAAACCATTACGTAAAGGAAATACATAATTAATAATATGATAATTAAAAATATGATTGTAAACAAGAGGTAAGATATAGTAAGAGATATCATAACATAAAATGAATTCAAAACAGAAAGATAAAGACGAAAGGGTGCTTTCATTTAGCAGCTTTCAAGCACTCGGGCAGTACAAACTATGAGTTGGGTGGTAGAAATTTTACAAAGATATATACTTAACTTTATTTAAAGAGATTTAGAGAGATAAATAGACAAATAGAGATAGTCAGAGTTCGACAAAAAGAGAGACAGACAGAGAGAGAGAGAGAGAGAGAGAGAGAAAGAGAGAGATAGTGTGAGTGTGAGAGAGGGGGCAGCCTACTGATTTATATTCTAATATACACTTTGGCCGCAATCGATTGCAATTTAAGTGGTATTCGATGGACTGTCAAACTTCGGGAAAGTTAATTAAATTTGAATAAAGGTTTTTAGGCAGGTTTAGAGGGGTGGTGGTAGGTCATGTGGGACGCGGGAAGTACTGGGTACAACTTACTACTTGATATGATTTGATTTATGCATGATATATAAATAATTTACTTAGCTAACTTTTGATTTAATTTAACTTATCTTTTGTTTAATTATATTTCTTGTCGATTGAATAGAATGCATTGGAGATGTTTAAAAACAATAAGCTAATTGTACGTGTTCGGGTTGTGCGAATTTTGGAACTGCTACCACTGCTGCTCAGTCATGATTGAGAGGGGGGATTTTTTTTTGTTTTTTGGGGGGGTTGGTATAGGTTGAAAGTAAAACATGATATCGCAATACGCATAATACGCAAGTTGGGCGCAGCTTGAAGACACAATTTGGCTAGTTTGCTATACGCTGACTATAGGGTTGAGTATAAAATATATGGGATTTTTACTAAACAAAAAGAACTAGAAGCACGGCGGATGCTCAGCAGGTGAGCAACAAACAGAGTTAAGCGTTTTGCGTCTAAGAAATAACTCACTACGATTATTGATCAAAAGCCAAAAAAAAAAAAAACCATAATCCAACACACAAAAGCGTCTGAGTTTAAAAAACATAATATGAATATATATATATATTTGAAGAGCACTTAATAACTATTATCTTACAGGCGTAAATTTGAATTAACTTCCCTGTAGTCTTTGGTTAATCCACTTGAATTACAAGACAGGGCGCGATTATGGTACAAAACTCAAATGTGGACTGGAAAATGTGGCAACAAAATGGGGAAAGTAAATCAAAAGACACAAAAGAATAGAATTCGAAATATGTGAGGAGATCAATAAAGGCATGCGGCAGGAAGTCTGTACGAGTATCATAAGTATATATGCAAGACACTTGATATCCGACTTACAGCACTATTTACTATACAAGACAATATATTTACATAGATAAAGTTGGTAAAAACTGGATGGTTAAAAGAAAAAACATTCAATTTTTCAAGTATATTTTGTTTGTTTGTATTAAATTGGAAAGTGCGCATACGCCATGTGGGCATAAACTTTAAATTGTTTATGGTTGTGTGGAAGTTTGTGTATACGTGTGTATTTGTGTGTGTATGTGCAGGTGCAAGGAGGTGAATTTCAATACATAAATGAGCAAGGGCCAAAGTAACGCACCGTGTTGCACTACAAAACTAGCTCACTAGATTTTTTGATCGGGATTGTTGCAATGGACTTATTGGGTTAACGGTGGATTGTCGGTTTGTTTTTTGTTTTTAATGGTTTTCGGGTATCGATATTGTATTCTAGTATTCGGTTTTTGTTGTTTTTACTTATTTTATTATTTTTTTTTTTGGGTTGGGGTGCACGAGTTGGTTCGCATACTTTGTTCGACTTACTAAAAAACAAACAAAATTCGATACAAACTGGCTATAGAAGTCAGTATAACCGACTACGTCATTCTATACTAGGCATTCAAATGCAGCAAATTTGGTGGGTTAATATTTCAAGTTTATTTTTTATGGGATATACATATATAGTTTTTTTTTACGGTTTTCCAAGAACTAAAAATGAAATCAAAAGAGAATGCTGTGAAATTTACTGACTGAATTCAATTTGATGGCTGCCACTGACACTACATCGAAGTTATATATTTATATATATATATATAGGATTTAGAGTGATTTTTTTTTAATATATTAGTTGAAGACATTGAAGCACCGTATACATTGGGTTTGTTTGTGTGTGTGTGTATGTTTGTGTATAAGGGATAGTAGTAGTAGTATATAAGTGTGTTTGTTGAGGCTGATTCAATTGGAGGTATTTAGTATTTGAAGAAGCCAGGAGACCAATAGTTACAACAATCAATGTCAAAGATAAGATAAGATACGTTAAAACACAACAATAAGTTAAAGAAATTTTGGTATGCAATAGACAACAAGACATCAAATACGATTATCGAGAACGTACGATTATATATACGATAGATAAATGGTATATATATATCGTGCCGCAAAGGAAACACAAAAGGGTACACAAAAAAACATCGAGTTGAATTTTGTTGGGTTTTGAGTTTGCGTGTTTTATAAACAAAATATATGTTAGATTTTTTGGTTTTATGTATTCTGTTTTTTTTCTTGTTGTACACGGCAAATGTTTGTCTTGTGAGCGCGTTTTTCTTGCCATCAGTTTTTTGGGTATTTATTGTATTGGTGTTTTAGATTTTCAGTCTCTTTCAACGCGGGTAAAAACTGGAGTAGCTCTGAGTATTTCGAAATACCACTCTTTACTTTTTACTGTCTTTTGTTTTGGTTCTCATATTTATCTTTTTCGTATAAAAAAGGATGTGTTTAGGCGTGGTATTAAAAAGAAATTAAAATATACAAAACTAAAAAGTTATTATTTTTATTTTCCTCTTCTGACTCGGTTAGTAGTTGAAGAAAAATTTAAATAAAAAGTTTAAGTGTACAACTGGCAAAGAGCTCTGGAAATTTTTCATTACCTTTATAAAATGACAAAATCATAAATTTGTTAATATTTTTCCCAAATTCTAATTCGAAAATTACATTGGCTACTATATTAATTTAGAATTAGATCATTTTATTCATTTAAATATGATTTATTTGAACAGTATAAATTTTAATTAGAATTCCAAAATATTTTGAAATTGTTGGTAAGTTATGATTTTGAAAATAATTTAGAATATGAAAAGTAATTTTTATTGAATTTAATTTGCGTAGCCAATGCAAAATATTTAATAGATATTTTTTTAACTGAAAAATAAAAATAAATAATAATACCTAACAACATTAGTTTGTTTTTTCAAAAACAAAAAAGTACATAATGTAAATAAAAAGGAAATAATAATCGAATGAAAAATTATTAGAGATGCACCCAAATATGTTGTAATTATTTCCATTTTCGGTCATTGGCTAAAGCTAAAGCTAACTGAAATTGGGTCAATGGCAACTTATCGGCTGTATAATACAAGCTAAAGCCAAGATTGTGTGTGTGTGTGTGTGTGTATGAGAGTATGTGTCGAGTTATATTTATAGATGTGTTGGTGGGCTAAGTCTAGAGTCTTGATAGCAGGTAGTGGGTATATTACAAGAGCGGGCGGGTCAAGCCAACTGACAGCACAGCAAATGAAAAGCGCCAGCGAGGGGCGCTCGAAGTCTTGTGGATGTTGTGCTGCCAATGGCCAAAAGCTATAGATTTGATTTACGTTCTTAATTACATTTCTTAATTGCACCCTCTATGGAAAATGGAAATGTATTACAACACGTCTTTGGCCACTTCTCCCCAGAGTTCCTTTTCTTTACAATATTTTCGAGGATTTCTACAGCACACCTGCCGCCTGGTCATATCGCTTATTGCCCATTCCCAAACATTGTTACAGGGGTATTTTTTGTTTAGGAGGTAGAAGACATTGGAGATAAACAGAGAGATTACTTCACCATCATCATCAACAATTATGAGATTAAAATATATAATATATATATAGAGTATAAAAAGTTTGTTTTGTATTTATAGATATATGTATGTAAATTTGTTCATTTACTGTGTGTGATTAAAAAAAGATTAGATTAGAAAACGATTAGTAAACAATTTGGTTGTCTTTTTTCCATTTTGCACTTTGTGCGCGATTGCTCATTAATAATAATAATGTAAATGTTGGATCAATTTTAGCGACAAACTCGGTGTCGGTGTCACGTGGCGTCTTGTGTTTAGTGACAGATACTTATACGACTGATTACGAAACAAAACAAAAATACGTAATAATTCATCTGTGATGCCGTAAGGACTAAAAAGGTGGGTAAGTGTAACTCAACAACGAAAAAAAAACATGTAACGAAAATACTCTGGCGTAACCGTCAATGGGACTCTTCGAGAGTGCTCACGTGGCATTCGGTTATGTAGCAAGAACAAGAACAAGAAGAACAAGAACGAGAAGGAGGAGGAGGAGTACGAGAACGCGAACTGAATGTCCGTCCTGTTAGAGTGTGCCCTGTACTTTGTTAGTTGCCCTTGAATGTGACGCTGTTTAAGGCACAAACACAAAAGCAATCGAGTACACTGAACGAAACTTATGAGCTGAGTTACTTGACACAAGTAGTCATAGTTATATAGAAGTATATATATATATATTGTTAAAGATTTGTACAGTGTCACAGTCACAACATTTAACTGTCGCCAAACTCGGAGCACATTCAAATTGGCAACTGCTTCTCAAAATAATCAATTCGCTTCAGTTGCAGTTGCAGTTAATGGCGGCAATCTCTGGCTCTGAATTATGTACAGCGGCAGCAGCAGCAAAAGCTGACTTAACTAGCACTTAAATAACGAACGAAGCAGTATATGTAAAACAGACTGTTTGAAATGGTTATAGAAATATTTACTTAAGTTTATGAGTTACTTTTGTGCAAGCATTTATCAAACGCAAAGCAAATCGGCAAATTGGCAGCTTCGTCGAGTTTTAAAATATGTATACTATATGTATAAAAGTGGTTGTGATATATATGTATATATATATAGAGGCAATTTATGGTACAGCATTTGGGATCTTTTTTTTTTTTTGGGACGGTTTGTTGTTATTTTTACACTATTTTCGTTTTGCTTGGCAGTGAAATTTATATTACAAAGTGCTGCGAATGCCGAGCTAAATGCAATACGATAGTGTAAAAATAATATTCTGAACTGAAAACTGGCACAGAACAAAGAACGAATCAAAAAGAAACTGAGAAATTAGATATACATATATATAAAACAGGAACTGAATGAAAACTTAAGATTGTAATTGTAATGAGAAACTTAGGACGACGAATAGGTAATGGAGTAAAGGTTTATATTTATTTTTAAGTTTTTTGTTTTTTGTTTTTTGATTTTTTTTTTTGCTTACGCTGGACACTTGACATTGACACACACGGTTTACGGATACGGATATATAGTAGTTAGGTAAGTAAAACACATTTAGAGTTAAGGAGGAGCACCAGTTGAGCATGGCAACTGATTGGACTTACCCGAGCCGCAAAACTGGTTGTTGGCTTTTCTAGCAGTTCCCAGAGATACTTTTGGTATTCGGCGCATTTACCTTCGCCGAACTCTTCCTCGTCCCGCTGCCTCAACGATTCGGCCTCCTTGCGCATCTCCTCGTGAACGTTCTCCTTGCGCTGATGGTACTTATGCTGGCAACACGACTCCAGATACAGTTCGTCAACACCCCAATACTCCAGATCATCACTAAACGCAAGCACGCACATCTCATCCACAATGTGCAGTTTCCCGGTGCGATAGAAATTTAATATCGAGCTGAAGCTCTTCGGATGACGATCAAAGAAATACTCGTTGTCGACCAGCGAGTAATCATCGCACAGCTCTATTATCGACTCGTGGGTGGTGCACTCTCGAAGCCGGCCCAGCCGCGTGTGTGGCAGACGTTCCAATGTGCGCCAGAGCACCTCGTGCTTCACACCGCCCACATTGATGGAGACGCGGCTGTTCATCTGCTTCGATTGTGCTATCATGAACGGCTCCGGCGGCGGTATGGAGGACATGGATCTGGAATGTGTCCGCTGCAGTGCGCCGATTGTATTGCTCTGGCTAAAGCCAGCATTTGAACCGGCTCCGGGTGGCAACATGACAACACCGACACCGATGCCAGCACCACCACCGCCGCCGCCACCGCCACCGCCGAGGCTGAGGCTGCCAGTGGGGCCGCCAATGCTGCCACCACCAATGCCGCTGCCGGCTCCCCCACCACCACCACTACCACTGAGTGCAATTTGCTGCTGATGCTGTGCAAGAGTCTGCTGGGAAGTTGTGGGATTTGAATGCGTTGGTGATGTAACTGGGAATGGTGCGTAACGAACTTCCTTGCCAATGGCACCGGTGGTGCTGCCACTGACAGCGCCACTTGTCGACGATCCACCAAGAACACCTGGACCAGCTCCCATGCCGTGTGCAGCAGCTGCTGTGTGCGCTCCTGCTGCTGCGGCGGATGTGCCAGCAGCGCCGATGCCATCAGCATAATCCATGTGGCGACTGTTGAGGATAATAGAGCCGCCGGCAACAGTTGACCCACTGTTATAAGCAGCGCCGCCAGTTGTTGGGACAGTTCCGCCGATGCAACCATATGCACTAGCTCCACCGGTTCCCATCGCTGCTCTCTCCCAATCGACATTACCGCTTGTATCGTAATAGGGCTGATTATCGCCGCCGTCGGCTGTGCCCGCAAGTTGCAGTCCACGCGCAGCTGCCTCGTGTTGCTGATAAAACAGTTCCTGTTGCTGTTGCTGCTGCTGTTGCTGCTGCTGTTGCTGTCTGTGTTGTTGCTTTGACTGTTGCTGTTGTTGTTGCTGTTGTTGTTGTTGTTGTTGACTTTGTTGTTGCTGTTGCTGTTGTTGGCTAGCAGCCTGTCCACCATGCAATTGCCCGACCATTTGTAACACTCCATTATTGGTTTGAAGCGGTGTTGTTTCACCCGTTGCCCAGCGTACCGCCTCACGGTCCCTGTCGCGTTCGCCGACCATAAGTCTGCTGCAGATTTCGTGCCATTTAAGATAAAAAACAGATTTATTGAGTACCCGCCCATCCCGTGTACACTCTGAGAAAAAACATCGTGCTCACACTTACCGCTACATCGCGTCAATTGTTGTCATTACAGCCACTCCACTCCGCACCCAGTTCTCCGCTGTCCTATGTCGCTTAATTGGCTACCTTCTGCCTCCTGGTTGGCTTCGTTTTCTTTTTTTGTTTTTTTGCTGGCTGCTCGTGCTAAATTGATTTCAATTTGTTCAATATCTACAGATCTATAAATTCAACAATTGGCCAGCAATTTCTGCGGTCTGTCGCTGGCACGCTTCCGACAGCTTCTTCTTCGTCTGTGTGTGTTGCTGGCAGCTTTCCGTCTTCATGTCTTTGTATCTATGTATTTGTGTGTGTGTCCGTGTGAGTGTGTATGTGGCGTTGCTGTTTATGCTGGTTGCTGGTTGCTGGTCGTTGTTGTTACTGCTTGCGTGTTTGGGTTATGATCACAGTTTATTTTCTAGGGGTTTGGGCTTAATTGGATTTTTCTGTTTTTAATTCGAACTGGGGCTGGCTTAGGCGAATATTGGCAGCATTTTGTGAGGGGGCGGGGGCTCTAATACGCTATGTGTAGGAGATAGCTGCAAATAGATAGATAATACAAGAAAATGCGATCAGCAAGTATATTATAATATAGTTACAAATAAGCTGATAAGCTCATTAAATATGCATAGACTGTTCAATGCATATTGCAAAGTCTTGTCTTGTCATTGCCACGCCAAATGGACAATTAATCAATAGCTGTTGACAGCTGATAAGATAACTCAACGCTATACAATTTTCATAGCATACTTTTTGGGGCCAACTGTATGCACTTATTCCACACAATTACGCACACACGCACATACACACACATTTGAGCTATTGGTAACGAGGTCAGCGCTTTGTTTGCTTGTTTACCATAGTTAATTTGCAAATGCTGAAGGCTGAACACAAATTCTGAACTTAAATGCCGTCAAACCAAATGCGTTTTAAAAACTCCACATTTGCAAAGCATTCACACAAACTGCTTTTTAGGGGGTGGAGGTTTCGGCAATTGCGAACGATCCAAGTGATTTTTTTGCTTTCATTTGGCTTGGCCTTTGTCTAAATCGCAATTTCTGCCGCATTGTAATCAAATTTGAATTTTTATGCGAAACGGAAGTGCATTGTAATAAACGTATGCACTCGTTTTTGCAAAGTTATATGCACCCTGCCAATTCGCCCCACAAAAATGTTAATTAAACCACTCTCCGCTCTAGATAAAAACCATGCCGCATTGACCTTGATTAGCTCATAAGCTACAATTGCATTTCTATTCGTATTTTGGGTCAGTCAAATGTGCTTCTCAATCAAACGTGGACATATTTATTGCACCTGCAGATGTTGCTTATAATGTAAAAATATATTCGATTTTAAGCGAAAATTCGTTTTTAAGTTCAGCTTGCCTTTGAAAAATAATTAAAATCGTTCGATGTTGGTTGCTGGTCACTAATAAATCTTATTCGATAAATAGTAGAGTATTTCTTAGCCTGCTTTAGAGAGAAAAAAATTATACAGTGCATGCTTACACATCACATTTCACCAATGGCTGATTCACCTGTCACTTGTAAATGAGTATTTCAGTTGAATGGTGCTCGAAATACCTGACATGCGAAGACTAAATCATTTTTATATATACGTATATATTTATGTATGATAAATTATAAAGTTTTGCTTGCATTTTGTTGGGTTAAATTGTTATTTATTAGCAGCCATTCTTACAAAAAGCGCGCACATTTTTGACAACATTTCTGGCATATTTTCAATTTAGATTATAATTATTATTATTATTATTATTATTGTTGTTGGTGTTGTAGTTACTTCAGTCGCGTGTTGTGAAATTTGATGCAATTATTTCTGGCGCGAAATGAACTTAAGCTGCATGCAAATTGTATGGCGTTTTCGAAGTGTTGCCACATGCAACATGTTAACCTATTGCACTCGACTTAAGTGTGCAAGTGTGCGGCATAAGTTAAGTGGCCAACATTCACCTTGGAACCTGTTGAATTGCCTTGAAACGGCCGTCAGCGTAAAATATAAATTGCAATTAATTGCAAGTTACATAATATGGCGAGAAGCTTTTCTTTCACATTTCTTGTTACTTGCTCGTTGTTTTATTTCCTTTGACAGCTCAGTTCATGGCATAAAGTGTGAGAAAATAGCGTTTGAATTTATTACTGCAACGCCCTCACATAAATGAAAGAGATGAGGGACTCATTAGGTCATAAATCTTGGACATCATTTGCCTACCACATATGCACAAATTACAAAATGAAGACTTAATTGCCCATTAATAGTTTGATAATGCCCCCAGAGAGGCATACATATATATATATTTATACATATATATATATATATTTGTAAGCATTGTGTAGCCAGCGTCTCAGGTTACGGTCAGGGCCATTTCATGTAAATCCCTAATGGAGCTGTACCAATAAAAACAATAAACAACGACAACAGCAAGCACAATTTGTGCTGTACAGCTATTAAAAAGCTGTTTAGCAATTTTACGCTTAGCCAATTTGGATGACGAAGCTGAAAATTGCTGTTGTGGGGGGAGGGTTGTGGCGGTTGTTTGATTAATGATTTCTTTGACTTGTGCACTAATTGAAAATGGCCAAGAAATTTAAGGAACCAAAAGAGCACTTCAATTAAAGCTGCAGTCGTGTTAGCTACACAATAATAATGAAAGTGCGTAAAGTTGCTCCATAATTTCAATTAAATTTTGAGAGTTCCAGCTTAAAGATTTTAATGGAATATTCTTGAGATATTGAGAAATTTGTATGAAATCATTCATTCGATGTGTCATAAAATTATAGTACCCATATTTAGACCTTTGTTAAGTGCTTAAGCCGGCACATACGTTGCCATCTAAAAATAGCTATGTACTTGCACTTAATTGGCTCTAGAAAGAACCCTCCTTCATCCGCCAGCTCAATACTCGTTGCTGGACATAAGAAATGGCCATTTTTCAAGTGCCAAAATTCTACTTAGCTGTGAAGAGTGGCGCCCCCAAAAATTCGAACAGAGGCATTTGCATAGCAGAGTGCAGCAATAGCAATAGCAACAATAACAACATGAATAACAACAATTGCAGTGCAAATATGCGAGCACAGGAACAATGGAAAAGCGTGTCAGTGTTGTTCGGCAAATGGAGAACATTTATTGCCGACTTTTAAGGGCCGCCGTTAGACGACGTTGACTAAATTTATGGCGCCATTTTGTTTGGTTGCTGCCTCGAGCAGCAAACATTTCACAAGTCAAGTGCATTTATATATATATTTAAGTTGTTGTTGGCATTGTTTCAGTCTTGGCTTTCAAATGCGTCAGCGCTAACCTCAACACTTCAGTCAGTGCCTCGGGTCATGTACACAATGTATATATACAAGTATGCGTGTGTGTATGTGTGTGTGTGTGTTATGTGCAGCGCCTTGTTTTACCACACGATTCACCCCACCACATCCGGCTACAACCACTTCCGCCTAAGCTCGAGCCGCCAACGCTGCTGCTGCTGCTGCTGCTGACCCTTGTCTGCTGCTGGCGACTGCTCTAATTTAGTTAGCAGCCACGAACAATATTCGAGGAAATTTAGAAAGTCACATACACAGATGCACACAGCCTTTTTATGTGTGTGTGTGTGTGTGTGTGTGTTTAGCACACTTTGAGCCAATTTGTTCACTTTCCATTTCGCAACAATAAAAAAGCGATGTAGTAGAAAATTAAAGTGAGTTACTCTAATATTAATTTGGCTTTTGTTTTGGTTTTTGCGTGCGAACTCGACTTATTGGCCATTGGCATGCAAGCATCTTGACCAACTTCAGCCAACTTGGCCTTGAGAGCTATGCACGTATGTTTGTGTGTGTGTGGGCGATTTCAAAGCGTCTGCTTCAGCTTTATATATTTCTTGTTCTCTCTTCTCTCTCTCTGTCATATGCTACACAATTGTTGCACTCAGCAACATATCTTGCAGGAACACAGTGCGTGTTTGGCCTTTTATTAAGTCACTCAGCGACTTTGCGGTTTTATGAGACCCGCATGGCAAATGCCAGCGCCATGGCGTCATCTCCGCCAAGCAACAGTCTCAGCCTTTGACAGCCCTCATAACAAAATCGATATAAAAACTAAAGCCCGGCAACTAAATGTGTAATTTAGCCAAGCTCATTTACTATGCAATCCATTACAAATTTATAAGCCCCTCAATTTAATCTAAAAAATCATGTAACGAAATAGTATGTAAGGAATTATTTGCCAAATGTTTTTGAGTTGGCTTTCCATGTTGTTTCAGGATAGTTCAAATGACATAATCTACAATAATTGAAATCCACTTAAGATCTGCACAAGAATAAAAATTTAAAATATATTTAAATAAAACGAACTCGAACATTTGAATAATTTCTGTGGATGACCTGCTGTAATTTCTGATCAACTTAAGTGGAAATGCAACTAATTTAATGCGGTCAAATTTAAAAAGCACCTTGGGGTATGCTTTACAAATTGAAGGGACATTGTCGTTGGGGCAACTGCGCAGTTAACGCATAAAACTTATGAAAAATTCATCGACAAAGTGTCTTGGCAGGCCATTGGCCGTTGCCTTGTACAACATTAACAAACGTTAGCTGTTGGCCATAATTCATATATGGCTTATTGATTTTCGATTATGGCCATTGCTCTCTCGGCCTGTTTTGTCTGTCCGTCTGTCTGTCTGTCTGTCTTTTCTGTTCTGCTCAGCTTTGTCTCTGCGTCTGGCTGTTGTCTTGTGCCAACCTGTTTGCTGTGCGTGCATGGCCTAATAAGTTGTAGGCACGCACACACACACAACAAGTTTTATTATATATGAACATAGGTATACTGAAGTTATAATATATATAATGCAGTCGAATTGCTTTTTGTCTCTCGCATTATTTGCTATCATTTTATTTATGTATGTACTGGCTGCTAAATACGCAGCAAGTACATTAATCAAATGACATTCCATCGATCTTTTCCCTCCCTTTATGGTGTCTCTTTCTCTCCCTCTCTCGATGTATCTCTTGTGAAACACCTGATACATTAAATGCCGCATGAAATGTTTCAGCTGCCAGTCGCTGATAATGATAAATGGCTCTCAACATGTCAGACTCCACCACACGGATATTGTTCCCCCATTTCCAACACACCCACCGCATTTGTTTTACACATGTAAGTTCAATGCTGGTCGAATTGATGCATTTATTTATAGGCCCTGCGCATCTATTAATGTACAGCTTATTTATTTGTCTCAGATGACCGCTGATGCTCTTTCGATATAAAATTAAAATAAATAATGATCCGGCGCAGCGGCAGCAAATCACTTAAAATTCCATACACCCCGCTGGCGATGCGAGCATTTTCGCCTGCCTACCAACAAAATTAATTGGCAACTAAAAATAGTTGAGCCTAGAAATTATTATTATTTTTTATTTTTTTTCTGTGCAGCACGAAGCCGTTGAGATTATTCGCGTGCCTGCTCACAGTTAAACAGAAGAAGTTTAACTGGTTATTATTATTATTATTGTTGTTGGCACATGTCTAGCTGGCCTAT